TCGACGGGCTGAATTGCACAAAACGCATGATCGCACCGGCTAGTCTGGTGCGCGTTGCCATTTATTGGGAGATATTTTCGGGGCGGGAGAAATCACTTTGCTTGCTGTGCAGCAGACCGCATATTGAGAAAATGCATAAGTTTGCTGCGTAAATGCATACTGCGGGAGTGTGATTGCTGGCTTGGCGACGAGCACGTGCCAGGGGATGCGAGAAAAGAAGTTTATTTCAGAGGTCGGTTAAAGGGAAATGGGTGACCACGGCTATCCGTCGCACGTTCGGCCAACAACGACAAGCACGAATGCCAGTTTGCAGCAGCAGGGCTCTTTCCTGCACACCATCACCCCAATGAATCGTGTACCACAGTACGCTGCTCCGCCGCCCGATCCGGTGCTCAATCCTGCGCTGCCTCCCAGTATGTTCTTTCTGCCCCTTTCTTACACTTCCCGCACTGTTTGGCGCGATTTTGCTGTGAATAATTCTCATTATGAGCTCAGTTTCAGATACGTACGGTTCGTCGGTGCCTCATATTCCGCCATATCAGCAGCAGCAGCCGCCGATGAGATCGCATCGTCCTGCCTTCCATCTCAATCCAAATGCGCCACCGTTTCATCCCTCCTTCCCATCAGTATGCATATTTTTATGCGTTTTGTGCTGTGTAACAGCGTTACAAAACGCATATTGTCACGGGGTTGTTTGTGTGTGTGTCCCACATTTTGTCCCGCACTTTCAACTCGGGGACCACAAAAGCTAGGCGGCTGAAATTTTTTTATAATGTTCCCCGCCTACGGGTGACGCAGCAAATTTCAATTCAGCCTTCCCTTACCCACGGGTAACAGGTACGGCTCCGTGAAAGTTCTTTACGGGTAAATTAATATCTCGGGAACCAAGGAGTCTAGAAGACTGAAATTTTAGAGTTATGACCCCCTGCCCATGCTCAAACTTGCCCATTCAAATTCAGCTTTCCCGCGCTCTTTAGTATTAATTACGGCCTCGTGAAAATTTTGGCAGGTAAACTATTAACTCGGGAATCACGGAGAGATATTCACCCGTCAAGTTTCGAATTCAGCTTTCATGCGCTGGTGCGTGAAATTTTTAACTGTTTTCAATGTTTGAAC